CACGCGGGGATGCCGCTTTGCCATCCATTGCATCATGCGTGCTCGTGCCCCCCCAGCCGCCCCCCCTTCTATCGTCCTGTCTCCCCAGGTGGCACCCGCCGATACCTCCCCCCGGCTTCTCTGTGCAGCTTTCGCTCCATCCGCTTGGTGAGGACACGGTGTCTGCAGCCCCGGCCCCCTCCTCATCCTTCTCCCCGTGGGGCACGGGATGGGTCCCTCTTGCATCCGCTCTGCTTTGCATCTTCACCACAGCCCCGGAGCCGAGATGGGGTCAATGGGGGAATGTGGGGTGACAAATCTGGCTTGGGACAGCGGGGATGCACCGGGGGATGGATGGGACCCAAGAGCACAGCTGAGCCCCAGCCAGAGCCCGCCCGGAGCGGGGGCTGGGGGACACCACCTGCCCTGGGCATGGACCCAAGGCGCCAGGTCCCCCGGTATCCCCTGGGGCTGTCCCCACTGCACCCCACCCTGCTTCGGGACCCCCTGCAGCAGGGGCTCTGCAGAGGGCCGGTGTCCCCCAGACCCACCCCACCCACAGCTCGGTCCCGCAGGGCGGGAGTACGACAAGGAGGGCAACCTGCGGCCATGGTGGCAGAACTCCTCCCTGGAGGCCTTCAAGAACCGGACAGCGTGCATGACGGAGCAGTACGGCCGCTACACTGTCCACCGCGAGAAGGTCAATGGCCGGCAGACGCTGGGCGAGAACATCGCCGACAACGGCGGGCTCAAGGCAGCCTACAATGTGAGTGCCACCGTCCCAAGGGGACGCATACCCCCGTGCCTGTCTGTCCCTCCCCGGGGCTTCAGGGTGCCTCTCCTGCAGGCGTACAAGTCCTGGCTGCAGAAGAACGGGGAGGAGAAGCGCCTGCCAGCCCTGGGGCTCACCAACCACCAGCTCTTCTTCGTGGGCTTCGCACAGGTAGGGCGCAGCAGCATGGTGGGTTCCCCATCCCTCCCCGGCCCCTCAGAGCCACTCCACCGGCCCCTATCCTGCCTGGGGGGCTCTGCCCCCCGTCCCTGAGGCTGCTCCCGCTCCGGCAGGTGTGGTGCTCCGTCCGGACACCCGAGAGCTCCCACGAAGGGCTGGTGACCGACCCCCACAGCCCCGACAAGTATCGCGTCATCGGCACCCTCAGCAACTCCCGGGACTTTGTTGAACATTTCGGCTGTCCCCTGGGCTCCCCCATGAACCCCGGCAAGCACTGTGAGGTGTGGTAGGGATGGGGAGGGTGCTGGGGACAGAGGGGATGATGCTTTGCTGTGCCCCCACCCCCAGCCCTCACCGGCTGCCAGAGCTAGCCCACGGGCAGAGAGCGGGGCCACCCCCCAGGTCACTCTCCATCGCGGTCCCCCCCTGTGCACACACCGCACGCCGCCTCGCCCCACCTCTGCCCCCTCCCCAGCACAAACCGGGCACCCACCGCAGCCCCCATCCACAGCCTGGGGCTGGGCACGGCCGGCAGAAAAGCCGTAGCACCCCCAAACGCCGCTCTGCCCCCCCAACCCTGACGTGCTAGAGACGGGCACAGCTCAGCCCCCCCAGCGCTGTGTCCCCCCCGGGGTGGGCAGGTCAGAAGGGTCCCAGGGAGAGCACTAGAGCTGAGCCCCCCGACCTGCTGGAGACGGAGGCTGGGGGGCCCCCGGCTCCGCCCTTCCCTCACCCCCTCTCAATCCGGCTTGGCTTCCCCATCCATCTCTGCTGGGACCAGCGGGCAGCAGCGGGGACTCCGGTGCCTTCAGCTGTGGGTGGCTGTCGCTGAATTTATTTAACGATTAAAAGCAGTTTCCACTTAGTCCGGCGACTCCGGGTCCTTTGCGGTGTCGGGGTGGGGGGAGAGGTAGGATCTGGAGCGGGGGGTGACTCAAAAGCCGGGGGGACGTGTGGGAGATGAGGCATCCCGAGGGATGGGAGTGGGAGATGAGGCATCCCGAGGGACCAAGGGAAGGGAGCGGGAGATGAGATCCTTGAGGGACAGAGGGAGGGGAGCAGAGGCGCGGGGCAGGAGAAGGGCAGCCGCAGGGCTGGCCCTCAGCCCTGGAACCCCAGGGGGGAGGGGGTCACCCCTCAGCGTGGCTGGGGGACATCGAGGGCGGCTCTGGGTGAGGTGGGGGGAGCGGGAGGGCAGGAGCCGGGCTGGGACAGACCCCAGCCCCGGGAGCGGGGGGGGATCCCCCGGTGCAAAGCCCATCCGAGGGGCCCCCTTGCCCCCCGGGGCGGGGCTGACAGCACGGGTGACCCCATCCTGCCCTGGGGCCAGGCCGTGGCCGAGCCCCCTCCGCAGAGCGCCGGGGGCCTGCCCTGGCCGGGGCCTCTCCCCACGCCGCGCCCCCAGCCCCGTGCCGGGGTCCCCCCGCCTCT